CCGGTAGCGGTGCGGCTTCTTCCCGCCGCCCGTGGCCGGCGCGCTCTTGCGGGCCGCCTTGGTGGCCAGCTGCTTGCGCGGCGCCTTCCCGCCCGTCGACTTACGCGCCGTCTGCTTCGTGCGCGCCATGGGCCCGAGCTCACCGCACTGCTACCGCTCCGAAAGACGCTGCCGAATGAGCGCTGCTCTGTCGCCGTGGCGACTTTTATGGCGTGTGCTCCTCGCTGATTGGCAGGCATCAATGGCTGTTACCATTGGATGCTTTCAAATTCGAAAAGCCCGCCTCTAAAGCCCGCCAGATCGTCAACGGTCCAAATGCCGTCCTCCCTCCCCCCCCCTTTTTAATTATTCATTTTGTTAACGGATTTTTTTATACAGTATGCCGAAACGTATAATAGAAATTATTTATCCCTTAAGGAAAACAGTAACCTGAAGTCATTGTCCTCCCGGATGCTTAGAGGTTTTTTTTTGTTTGTTTTGTTTTTTTTTTTGTTTTGTTTTCCTAGCCTCAAAAGATTTGGAATTTTCAAAGTTACACATTTTATATATTACATAAATTCACATGCATTTGCATTAATAAGTAACTTTGCAACATATGCTTTTGCACAAAGGAACGGTTCAATAACGAACCAATAGTAACTAATAGCGTGGCTGTTATGTTAGCTGGCTGCTTACTAAGTGCATTAACTACCAAGAGACACTTAATCCTCAGGGGAAAAAAATATATATATATATTTTCAGTGATATTGCAATTGACTCAATATTAAATCTACTGCCAGAATAACAATGTTGAAATTAGGCCTCGCAGTCTTGGAAGTCTAGCTTATTTGGAAGCCTTGGAAGTCTAGTTTCTTAATTACTTTCCCTTGAGAGGCCTCAAAGACATTCCAGACTACCAGGAGACCAATACTGGAACAGCCTAGAAAAACCCGATTAGACTTTCTTTGGAGGATAAATTATTATTATTAATAATATCAATTAATAATATAATAATTAATTAATAACACCATACCACTCCTCTTCTAGTCGCAGGAGGCACAGAC